TCATAAAAGCCGACATTTCCGGGCGCGTCCTCCCGATCCCCGTATAGGAAACCAAACGGTCCTAACCTATAGTTGACGGACACAACCACAACATCCTTAGTGGCCAAAACACTGCCATTAAACCACGTTTGAAATATAGTCCCAATATTAAGTCCCCCTCCGTGTATCCAAAACATCACTGGTTTCAATGCCTTTACATCTGCTGTCCATATGTTTAGCACCAAACAGTCTTCACTCATACCTGTGCCCGGAATGATTGGTATGAAAGTTGTCGGTTGCATACATGAGTTCGTGGGTTTTGTTGCATCTATTATATCCTAATAATAATTATTTTTAAAATGTTAAAATATTATAATAATTAAGTTATTTATATAATACTTTCGAAAAATGATTCTATAATGTAACTAATTTAAGCTTAAATTGTTTTAAATAAATAGTTTTATACTTACGGGAAATGGCTTTATAATGTGTTCGGGTTTTGCGAACCTAAGTTTGCCGACCGGGGGTTCGGCGTATGGAATGCCCACAAACTGATCCACATTTGTGTCCAACACATGTAGTGTCCGACCCCTCACTACTCCAATACTGGTGTTAACATCAATGCAGTTTACAGTATTTAATGTGAAATATAAAACAATTATTGTAATAATGTTATAAAAACAAAACATTTTGTTTTAATCTATCATAAACATTCTTATTTACAAATAATATTTTTATTTAAATTATTTTTTTTATATACCATATATTATTACCGTTATTATTAAATAATATAACATTTTAACAATATTTACTATGGTAAAAGTATAAAAATAATCAGTTAAATTAGCTAAATACCTACTATGAGATAACTATAGTAATTATAGTTACTTAATTGTTATAGGTTGATATTTTCAAACCTTGATTAATTGTTCCAATATTACATTTCTTGGGTATTGAGTTGATTTTCATTTATGATAAACTCGATGTACCAAATTTGTGAAGTGGTTTTTTTTAGTACAGCAAGTAACATTTTTTTGATTAGTTCTGGTGACTATTTGAACTAACATTTATTAATTATAATTAGATTATAGAAATAAACCAATATAAGTAATACTTATTAAGTATATTCTCCTTTCCCATTCATTTAATTCACATTATTTATTATATTTATGCAATTTTAATAAATTTTTTATTTTTTAAATAATATTTTTTTAATTACATACGTAATTGAAAATTAATAGTTAAGCATATAATGTTTATTTTGTTTATAGAAAATAGTCGGCCCACACGCCATCACAAGTTTCATGAAACGGGTCACTCAATACTAGGCTCAGGTCTTTGGGATCCAAGCCGTGGACTTTGGGCGCATTCATCGGCTCATCGTTTAACAGTTGCGGCCAATCAGAGTCCATATGACTAAAATGATCATAAATATTAGTATGCGAGTAATTTAATTATAGTTAGATAAGCTATAAACTTATAATCATCATGTTGTTGTGTTATGAATACAGTATTATATATTTAATTTTAATATACTGAGGGCAATTGTGATACTATAGTTACTTTGTACCAAAGGATTATTATAAAATTATGCCGTGGTACTGAATAATTATATTGTATAAAGTAAATGCTATTATAAAATAAATTAATAAATCTGACTTTTATGATAGTGCATAGTTTTAAAATATTTTCTATATAATTATAAATATATCTAAGTTTGAAGAATGAATGTTTGATTATAAATTAAATAGATGTAAATTTACCCATCGGTAGCAAACTTTGTCCACATTTTCATCACAATTTTACTGTAATAAATATCTTCGGGACTGAAATCGTTGGGTGAAAGTAATGGCAAACCAAATACAAATGGTATGTCTAGGGTGTGACAAATGCCCATGGTTTTTATATCGCAACCATAACGCGTTGCAAACTTATCGCTTCCGTATAACAACTCGTAAAAGTAAACCCTTTGCGACTCTTTGACAGTTTGTGCGAACCGTTTGGCAAAATGATATGTCGGACACCCAAGTATTAGGTCACCTATTAATGAACCTAAAGCTGTGCGAAGTGCCAGACTATTGCTAGTGTTGACACCTTTCAGGTAATGTTCCGTCACTTTTGGCACATTTACGTTATGATAGCCGATTGAGTCGAGTGCGTTCACCGCGTTATGAAAGTCCGAAATATTCATATTTATTATATGAACAAGGTCATGAATCACAACTATAATAAACGTTGAGCCCTCATTGCGTGTTATGCCAGCGATTAAATCAATGTCTAATTAAAAATATAAGTATATATTTAAAATTATTTTACATTAATTAATTAAAAGCTTTATGAATATAGTGTATAATAGTAATATTTTACTTATTATTACCTGTATTAAATTTTTTCGTATTGAAAGCGGTTTGTGCTCTTATGGGCAAAAACTCTGTGTCAAATGTTGGGTAAGTGGCGATTGGGTTTTCATATTTGAGTATATCTTTGGGATCCGCTCTTCGCAAACATTGTATCCAATCCTCGGTTTCATTGCATTTCAATCCTTTAGCCATTGCTTTGGCCTGAGATAAGGCCTCAGTTTTGTTGACTACTTCTTTATCCATGTTGTAAAATTGGGCTCCGCTTTGCATAATAGCCCTCTTAAACATACCCTTTGATAGCGGGGAGAGTATGTGTGCGGACACCGACCAACTCCCGGCGCTCTCACCAAAAATGGTGATTTTATCCTTATCTCCGCCAAATAGATGTATGTTTTCTCTAACCTATTATAATGTCATTAATTTATTACAAATTTTATTAATAAATAAAAATTATAATTGCAATAGGAGATCAATTGATACCCATTTTAGGCCTAATAATTGGTCATAAAAGCCGACATTCCGGGCACAGGTATGAGTGAAGACTGTCTGACGCTTAACATATGGACAGCAAATACCACAGCATTAAAGCCAGTG